ATCAGTACCAGAGATAGATGGAATCGAAAATGTGATTGAAGAAAATGTGTTGTGATCTTCCCAGGTAAATAAATTTAGAAGTGGACAGTGATGAAGTACATGAACTGCTGGATTCCAACAATCTGGAGTTGAGAATGTGGATAAGTTCATACAAATGCATGAGCAAGAGCAAGACATCGAAGAATTTGAGTCCTTAGACCCTTCGAATGACGGTTGGGAATATGACTGATGGCTTCAATTTAATTGGTTGCAAATTTTAGAATTTGTAACCCTTTGTATTTTTCCAACTAAACAAGAAATGAAAAATTATTAGCGTGCAACAAGGAAATTTTGTGGGAGAAAAGGTTTGAGCCCCCTGGCAGACTACTTTGCTAGATTTTATTTAAAATTTCTACATCAAAAATTTGTACTTGTGTTATCTTAGATTTTAATAAACATTTTATTTAATAAATTATTATTTTCTTCGCCTCCGGCTAAACTGAAAATAATTTATATATACTTGCATGCAAAATTATACCCGACTTACTTGAATTCAACTTAACGCTATTTTCACTCAGTCTCACCTATCGCGTAAGTGTTCGGGGTATTTATTTATTTTCATATTTATCAAAAACATTTGTTCCGAAAATTATTATTGAAAATTTTAATGATCTGAAATTTTTGAAATTAAAATTTTCTTAACTATGCTAAATGCAATAGATCTTCAAAATCATGATGTAAAAAAAACTCCGTAATGTTTTTCAAATGTTTTATATACTTCACAGTTTAATTTTGCTTTTTCGCTAAGCGAATTTTAAGAAATTACGAATCCGTTGTTTACTAAAAGTGGAATTTTGAATTTTTTTTTTTCGAAATTTCGAATATTTTTTAATGCATGAAATTTTAGATTACACACAAAATTTAAAATCGATACGTTACTTCGGAATCAATTATCAATCTATTGTATAATTATCATTTATACAAAAATACTACAACAAAATTTATTTATAGAAATAGTTCTTCAAAATATTCATAGTGTATGGATTTTTTAATTCAAAAGCATTTAAAAGAAGAAAAAGAACAAGAGAGAAAAGAAAAAAAGTTCTCAAAAGGTCATTGCACTTAATCAACACTTCTCGAATACTTCCGAAGATTATGAAAAAAAAAATTATTTTTTTCTATCCGATTAATTCAAGCTGTACTCACAATTCATCGGCTTTAATTTGTTTGCCAATCCTATCAGCATAAACCCATCACTTGTTATTCAATTAGTGAACGGTCACGTGATTCACTTCGCAAGTTTTTTCTTCTTCACGCAGCTTCTTCAATCGATTATTCATTTAACCATCGATTTGATCTTCCTTCATTTTATGCTAGTGTTAATCGTTTCTTGGCGGTGATTAAATTAATATCACTATAATACATAATTGAGGCTTATATATATACTCATATAAAGTTCAATTGCCATTCATGGTTTGTATATTAATCTGAAAAAAAAATAAATTGGGCTGTAGGGGAAAGAAACAGCGAAGTGTAAAAAAATCATTGAGCTTAACAGTTGATTAGTTCACTGTTTATCAATTTAATTGTAAAGATTGAGACGGATTGAGCTTTCGTAGAGTTAAATGTTAATGGACAAACATAAAAATGAATTCTTTTTATAATTATTAAGTTAATCATGTTCTTATAATAGAACATAAAACATTTTAGTTTTATTACACCAAATTATCATTATTTTGCCCTGACTAAGAAGGTTAAAAATGAATTTTATCCGAAAAAAATAAATTTATATTATTTTACTAATATTCGTTTGACCTTTTGCTGTTGAAAATTATTTTATTCCAAGTAAATGCTTAATTTTTACGATTGATCTCATAGAATAAGTGTCACGAACTCGTGAGCGGAGTGACGCGGGTTCAAGTCATGATGCCCCTGAAGATCCGAGTATAGAGTAGGCCGAAGCACGCTAAATCTGTCGAAGTTCAAACGTTCTCCCGTGGTGCTATGTGGTTGGTAGGAGAGGGTGGTGCAAACTCAGGTGTCGTCCTCGTCATTTGACCGAGGCTCAAAATTACGAGGCCCATTGCTATTAGCTTTCGCGTTACTTTATAGTGCGACGTTATAAAATTCACTCAATCTGTCATAAATTAAGCAATTGAAAAGAATTTTAGTAAAATATATAAAGTTCTATGTATTAAATCCATGTTTCTTTTGAGAGTTAAAAATATTTACAGGTTTATATAAGACATCCTAAAAATAGTGTAAAATAAAGCAAGAATTTAAAAAAATAATATTTTACCCAGAGTATTATATGCACAGAATTTGTAATACAAAGTTTTGAAAATCTAAGAAGTACTTAGGGGTCTCGGGGGTGTTAGTTTTTTCTCGAGAGCTGAAAATATAAGTAATTTTCGATTAAATGCAATTCTTTGAAGTTAAAATTAAGCAATTTGATTCTATTACACATTGTTTATAAAGGGATAAAGCTTCAAAAAGAAGTGTAAAATTTTAAAAATATAATCATAACTTTATTACAAGCATATGAAGCTAAGAAAAATTTCTGTAAGAAATATTAAGTTTTGCGTTGCACATGATGTTTTCAAAAATCGTTTCTCTAATTGCTAACAATAAGTTGATTTATAAAGTTAATGATTTTATTTTTACACTACAGTTATTTTTCTATAAATAGAGCAATAAAAAATTATATTTTTTAAAAAATAAAAAAAATTAAACTTATAAATATTTTTTTTAAAATTTCGTTTTAGACATATCAAAGGCCGCTATTTTAGAAAATATCTGTAACGTAAAATTACTTAATATTTATTACAGAAATGTTTTTTATTATGTTTATAATTTTTAAAACTATTATTATATTTCAAACATTTTGAACTTTTTTGAAACCTCATTTCTTTATAAATAATGTGTAAAATAATTGAATTATTTAAATTTAATTTCAAAGAATTATGTCTATTTGAAAATTGTTTATATTTTGACCTCTCGAGAGAAAATTATCATCCCTGAGATCTCTTAGTCAAAAATTTTTTTTAAAAAAAAATCCTTCGTTTAGACATCCATACTTAAATCAGACTATCAAAATTAAAACTAAACCCTTTTATTTTAATAAAAAAATTTTTTTTAATTAAATTTGTTATTGAGTTTTACGAATCTAACAGGGAGCCATAAGGAAGCAAAAATGTCTAAGGGGGAAGAAAGGGGAAATTAAGAACATTATGATCATACACAAACGAATTCGTGAAACCTTGTACGCTTCGTAGCCAATTGTTCGATTTGTCTTTTAATGTCAAACATGTTGCGGAAACGTCACGTGCATATTACAAGTTTTGCAATTCCGAAAACATTCCAACATCTCACGCATTGTCAAGGTCACTCTGTAATAGACGAGGAGTACGATGAGAAATACCTGTGTTTTCTTGCCTTTTCTGATACTGAGAAACTTGCAAGATGTTTTTTTTTTATTGTCTATGTTTTCGAGGAAAAGCAATTCATGTTCGCATAGATTGCCAAATTTTTAAGTAGAAGTTTGCGAAAGTTAATTTTTTTTTGTTCCTCACATTTTACAATAAATAAATAAATAAATAAATAATAAAAATTTGAAAGTTTTGTTTATATTTATTACGTAATGAATATGCGATTATCTCACCATTAAAATAAAATTTATTCTTTTAAAAGTGGTAGCTTCCAAATGTGTTTCGAAATGAATGTCATGGAATTTTATAATAATACTTAGAGTAGATATTGAGAGACATTTATTCAATATATAATTGAAAAAAAAAGTTTAATTGAAATATTAACTTTGTTCACTTTTTATATCATAAAATTATTCTTACAATTCAATTATTCATGCATATTATTGATTTTATAATGTTAAAGAAAAATTGGTGCTTATATTGATAATTGAAAGGATATATATCTTTAAAAGGGGATGGGGGTGGGGAGAGTAAAGTTAAAAATTTATTTCTTTATATTTTATACGAATCCATGATGGTCTTCATTGAAGACTTTCAGGCTCAACAAATTTAAGTTCGATAGCCTCGTGATCGTGATCTCAGACTTGTGGTTGGGTGTCATGAGCTCTAGTTCTAGTGCTACTGAAGAACGCCTGGTACGGGGACTGATGTATGTTAAATCTGTTGAGGCGTGAAGTTCTCCCGTTGGCGAGGTGTGAAAGTTTAGATAGCTGAGGGGGCAGGTCATGTTTCGTCCTCGTCACTTGAGTATGGTTTAAAATTACGAGGTCTGTGTCACCAATAGCTTTTGTGCTGTTTTTAGTATGAACATTATAATTAACGCGCATTCACTTGACAAAACAATCATCTTCATAAAATTGTAATTTCTCTCTCTCTCTTTCTTGCAATTGTATATATATCCATTAATATCTTCATTTTACCTAAAATTTTTTTTTAAAAAAAATAGAACTAATTTTTTTCACTTAATTTAAAAGAAACCACTAGATTTCATCGATTTTCAGAGTTTTTTTTCAAATACTCAACAGAATTTAACATTTTTATTTCATTTTTTAAATTCTAATTTTAATATTCCACCGCTTATAGCTTCGGTTTCAGTAAATGAAGACATCATTCCAAAGGCCGTTGCTTTCTCTTGACTGAAATATGATTACAAACATGAATTTTGTGGTATAAAGTAAACGAAGGAAAATTTAAAACGAAATTGTAAGTAGAATTTTAAGATTAATTAAAATGCTCCAGTTTCAATTAGAGGAAGAACAAGTAATATAAAAAAAAATTCAAGTCAATTTCTACTTAGGTCAACAAAGAAAATTTTTATTTTAGTTATTTTTATTAAATAGTTCCAAGTAATATAAATATGTATATACATATGACAGAATCACAATATTAAGTGTCAAAATAGAAAGCGATTTTCCTTTCTATGTATGGTGTTGGACTATTTTTTTTGTTTGTTACTATTTATCCATTCATTAAATTTAATTATTCTAATAAAATGGCATAGCAAAAAAGAAAGCCCATTATCAGAAATTAGGCCATCCCAGTTGGGATACGAACCCACAAAATTTGGATTATAAGTCCAACGCGCTATCCGTTGCGCTACAAGGATACAATGAATAATTTTCCTTTCTATACATGCTGTTGAATTATTATTTTTACTTTTTACTATTTATTCATTTTTTAATTTAATTAATGAATTAATATTTAAAAAAACTGTATTAACATCAAGTGTCATCCACTGCAAGTTTAAAAGAATGTATTTGAACTTGAATGGATGCTTGATATATATATATATATATATATATATATATATTCTTTAGGGAGAGAGTGAATCAATAGTAGGAATTGAAAAATAGCTCAATCTAGCTCAACACAGTTTCTAAATCTAGCTTCTCCAAGAGCAACTGAATTAGAAATTCTGATATTGATATGCTTTGCATATTGTTTCAATTACCTTTAGCCTGTATATTTTCCATTAAAATTTCCCTTTCTCATCTCACTACATTAATCAGTAACACAATTATTCACAGAATAAAAGAGTGGCACAAATTCTTGCATTCATTTCAACTCGAATATTAAAATCCAGTCCAGCGTTATTCACACTTTCTGCAATCCATCACACATTATCACGCCAATCTCTGTACGCGTTCCAGTTAAGACAATCCTACATGAATATTCCTAATCAAAATTCCTCCTGAAAATTTATCCAGAAAAATTCGCCACGCCATGCCTCTGCCCCGAATTAGATTGTTAACAAATATCTCGGGCGCATTGTTTGAGGGTGGCTCATTGTTTGCGGGGGTGCACAGACCTTGATGAAGAGCACGATTACGTGCACCATGATTTTGCTTTATCACTATCAAGAAGCATCTATTGTTTTACGCCAAGGCTGCCAATTCTTCTGCGCCAACCAACCCAGTAAAGGACGTAGCGGTTGACCTTTTTGACGCGTTGCATTATCAAGGGGGGGGAGGTAATACCTCTGTGTCTAAAAAAATTAATTTGATCATTATTTTGTATATATTTGTTTGAAAGAGTAAGTGTAAATTAATTGCGGTGAAAAATTAATGATGTTACTGTTATGTAGCCGTATTAGATTTGTGTTAAAAATAGCATTAGATTTTTTTGGGGTTTTGCTTCTCCTTTCATGATTTATTAGACAAAAACATTTTAATTTACTGGTATCTTCCTTGCATATAATTTGCACTTTACAGGTTCGATTTTTATTTTGCTGAATAATTAAAGATTTCTGTTTGGTAAAGTTAAGTGAGAAAAAGTGGTAATTAACTCAGAAGTTTGTATACATTGATCCAATTGAAGGAATTTGCTTTTTACGTCTAGCATTCAGATTAAGATCTTTAAAAATCGATTCTGCTTTATTCGGAATCCTTAACAACCGTTTTCGAAAACTCTATCTAGAATACTTCCCAGTTAGTTTTAGTAAAACCCGTTAATTGTTTTTTTTTTCGTTTTTTTTTTTAAATTTCCTATTCCAATCCAAACAATTATTTTTTTAATTCACAAAAATCAAATTTCATTTTACTAAAATTGTTCAACCCTTTTTGTCTTTTAAGATGGATTGTCCTGTGATTGATACTTAAAAATGTTTTTCTTGCAAATTTTACCTTAGTATAATTTTAAAAAGACAGTAAAACAAAAAAAATTAAGTTACACACAATTATTTGCTTGCTTCTTTCTCTTGCTACTAAGTCACGAAAACGAGTTTTTTTATTTAACTCAGAGATGATTTTATGTGATAATATATATATATATATATATATATATATATATATATATATATATATTTTATAGAGCACACGAATATACGGAGATTTCAAATTTGTTTAAAAAAAACTATTGTGTACTATTTGTGTAGCTAGTAACAAAAATATTTTCACAAATGAGATACATTTTCCAATCATATATGATAGAGCAAGAGAGTCAATAACCCAGCGCTTCTCAAACTGTGAGGGGCACCCCCTAGGGGGCGTGATAATTCTGCGAGGGGGGCGCAAGCATATTGAAAAGTCGATAGCAAAAAAAGTTTATTTCAAAAAAATATATTAATTTATCTTGATCTAACAAACAAAATGCATTCTGACACAATAAAAAATAAAGTACATATTTACTCTGATGTAATACACTTATAAATGTATCAGTACTGCATAATATATTTGATAATTAATTTAAAAATAGGAAGTTAAGAACAAGTTTAATAATTACCAGTGACCCCATGGACTTGTCATATATAAAATTATATACAAAAATTAACACTCATCTTGATAATTTATACAGTTAAACATTAATCCCTAAACTGTCAACTAAAAGTTACGTGATTTTCTTCCCAATATCATCGTTTTCCACGTAGGCGAGCATATGAGATGTATTGATGTGTGTGGGGAGGAGGGGGGATATAAAAGGAATAAATAAGTAAATCCTCTGAAATAAGTAAGTCGTTTGCAAACACTGTGAAGGTCTTTTTAATGCGTTCCAAAGCCTTCGGAATAATTTTATGGATGACATCGCACATAAAAGAATCATACTTCGGAAAGACGTATATATACGTCCGAGGCAATTGGCTGAGCGAGGTGTTTCTATACGCCGGCTGCCCTTAAGAGGTTAAAGTTGTATATACTGTAGCCTTAGAGTAAAAGTATAGTATTGTTGTGAATTCAGTGCATTTTTATTGTATGGAAGGAGGCGCAATGAAAATTCTGATTGAACATTGGGTCGCAAATATTGAAAGTTTGAGAACCACTGCAGTAACCTATGGTACTCGATACACTTTTCAGTGACACTCTGCACTTCTCCACAACTTGGTCAATTTTTGAGTGGATGGAAATTGATAAATTTGAAATAGACCTTATTCGATTAACCTCTTCAGGATTATGGACATTTACGGAATTACGAAAAAATCTGAAAGATAACTAAAGATGAATTTACAGCTTGTTTTTTTACATTAGTGAATATCATTGCTGGAGAGATTTAATTGTTTGATGAGAGAAAATTGCATGTAAACTCAAAAACTATTTCGAGTTCTCAAAGAAATTGTTTAACAACTGAATGATCAAAAGCGTGTCAAATTGAAAGACACATTATACCCCTTATTTTGCAAAATGAAAGTAGAGTGGTGCAAGCACTAAAGTCGCATTAAAGTATCCGACTACGTTCGGAACCGTGATTTTAAAAAAGGGCATAAATGGATAATTTTCATGACATTTAGTGTCACTCAGATTAGAATACATGCATAAAATTGTTTTAAGGAGACTGACAAAAAAAATGATTTAAATATAATATTTTGGCAAAAAATTAACTTAGAATAGTCTTTCTTCCAAATGTTCTCCTTTTGTGAAAAATGCTTCTATTATAATAATATTTTGCCTGTATATAACTCAAACCTCTCTACAGAGGCTCAACTAGAAGTTTTGAAAAATTCACATTATTTTCAGAGATAACACCAATTTAAATAATTATTGGCGTTTTTTTCTTAAAATTTCTCCCCTCTGTCGTCGTAAAATATGAATAAACCCACTTCTAAGTTATATATTTCAAAAATTCTAGTTGAGCCTCTGAACAGAGGTCTGAGCTATATACACACACAGGCTAAATATTATTCTAATAGAAGCAGTTTTCACACAAAAGGAGAACATTTGGAAAAAAGATTATTCTAAGTTAATTTTTTGCCAAAATATGATATTTAAATAAATTCTTTTTGTCAAAATGTCCTTAAAACTATTTTATGCATATATTCTAATCTGAGTGACACTAAATATCGTGAAAATTATCCCTTTATGCGCTTTTGCAATATCACGGCTCCGAACGTAGTCTGATACCTTAAAATTTTATTTAACTATAGTGAAGGGAAACACTTATATTTTATATGTTGTGTCTATTTCTTATTTTAATAAATAATGTTTAAAATCACGTGCTGTATGCATAATTTAAATTTAAAAAAATTTTATTAGGGAAATGCAGTTTATTTTTATGTTAAGCAGTTTATTTTTATGTTATGTTTTTATTTTATGCAGTTTATTTTTATGTTAAGAAATAGGTTTAAATGATACAAAATTACTATATAATAAAACTGCAAATCTATTTTATTGACCTCTATTCTCTAACTCTGCATGCATTATTGAAGGAATCGAATTGTTTAAACCCCATGCCCTACTGTGAAGCAGGCTGAATAATATCAGTAGATTGATTTGGCACGCCACAGCTCAAAGGTTGCCGACCCCTTATATAAACCGTAACTCGCAAATTTATTTATAAATAAACTATAAAAAAAAAGGTGAGAATAATGGTGAAAAACTTTAACTCAAAAATAGATGAGCCATTAATGTCGAAATTACCTCAAATAGATGGGGATATCATAATGGCTTAATAATCTGTTACATCTGAAGGGACACTAAAATTAAATGCTAAAAGAAAAAATGGTGCGTGGAACGCCACGCGATAGAAGTGAAACTTCTTTCGCGACGTTGGAAAATTGATCATTTACCCTAATATTTCAAATTGACCGAGTACATGTCTCAATCGCCAAATTTTCACGAAAGGTATTCGTGGCGAAATGAGACTTTCTGATACCAAATCCAAAGTAGAAAGATATCCTGGAATTTCTGGGTATATAAAACCATTATATTTTGATAAATTTGGTGTACTTTTCCTATTTAAAGTTTGTCGGCAATTGTAGCACGCTTTAATGTGTCTTCTAAATTAATTCCCGGTAAAATATTTTACAAAATATTTTTGTGCTCAGCAACAGGCGTTCTCAAATCATCTTTAAACCATATTCTATCATAAATTGAACGCCCGTATCAATTGAACGATTATCAACGAATCGCTTTTGAAAATCTTTGTGAGCATTTTTATGGGAATCATAGTCTTTGGAACGTAAGATAGAATTTATTATTGATTTATATGCATCAGTTCTCCAACACACACTAGACTTGTTGAGGGCTCTGTAGCTAATGACACAGAGTGGTTCACTAAGTCCGTTTTAATTCGGATTAACTTGAGCTCTATGTCATCCAGATTGTTGTAAATCTACATTTAAAAATATCGTATAAAACAAGATAGTGAAACACATTTTGTGAAATAAAAAGATAATGC